CTCTGCTTGAGCAGGTATCCCAAACTCTGATGGTCGCTCTTCACTACAAATTTCTGCCCCAGGAGATACTACCGCCACCGTTGGATAGCCATTACAAATGCTAAGAGTTCCTTGTCGAATGTAGATTTGGCTGTGTTGGCGAGGTTTAGTGCCTGGCTGAATAATGCTATCGGTCTCCCTTGTTGTGATAGAATGGCGCCAATGCCAGCACCTGACGCATCACACTCCAACTCGAATGGAGAATTGAAATCTGGTAACGCCAGTACCAGAGTGGATGTCAAGGCCTCTTTCAACCTTTGGAAAGTGTCCTCGGCTTCCGAGTTCCAACCCCAAGCACCCTTCTTAAGCAGTCTGATCAATGGTCGAGCCAGTTTTCCATAATCCTGGACGAACTTCTGGTAGTACCCTGTGAATCCCAGGAATCCCCTGAGTTCTGTAGGAGAGTTGGGCATGGGCCATTTCACCATACAATCGATTTTACTGGGATCCACTTCCACCTCGCCAGCTGAAATCACATGTCCGACGTAGCTTACCCTGTCCACCCGAAGTAGCACTTGTTTCTCTTGGCATGCAATTTGTGGGCCTTGAGGGTTGACAGAACAGATCGGAGATGCTTGATATGTTCTTCTGTTGATCGGCTGTAGACTAGGATGTCATCTAGGAAAACCAGGACAAATTTCCTCATAAACCCCCGAAAGACCTCGTGCATGACTGTTTGGAAGGTGGCCAGTGCATTGGACAACCCAAAGGGCATCACCAAAATTTCATAATGACCGTCATGCATTCGAAATGCTGTCTTAGGAACATCTAAGGCATGTACTCAGATCTGATGGTAACTGGCTCAAAGGTCAAATTTGGAGAAAATCTGGGATCCGTTCAGCTTGTCCAAAAGTTCGTCGATGTTAGGCATTGGATATCTGTCCTTCACTGTTACTGCATTCAGCTGCCTGTAGTCTACGCAGAATCTCCCGCCTCCATCTTTCTTCTTCACTAGTAGCATCGGTGAGGAGAACGGGCTTGTGCTGGACCGGATGATCCCATGGTTGAGCATCTCCTGGACCAATTTTCTCTATCTCCCCTTTGTGATAATGGGGATACCGGTAAGGACGCACACACACCGGTGCCACCCCCTGATGTAGCGGAATGGCATGGTCCAAGGCCCGTGGAGGAGGTAGACCCACTGACTCTTCAAAGACCTCCTTGAATTCTTTTAGTACCGATTGGACCCCGGGATCAATGGTGGGCTCCGTCATGCTGTGGTTATCTAATATCTGTAATAGGAAACAACTCCCAGAATTGCGTACCTGTCTCTCCATTCGATCCCCAACTACTGCTCTCAGCTCAGGGGTCGGTGACCATGCAGAAGGTGAATGTCGGCTTGGTCTTGGTATTCTAGGGAGAGGCTGTTGAAGTCCCATGTGATTGGGCCTAAGGTCCGAAGCCATTGGACTCTGAGAACAACATCCAATCCAGGCAACGATAACAAGAAGAAATCTGTAGTGATCTCGGCCCCTTGTGTCCGAATGTGGACTCCATCGCAGCGGCCCTGTTTGGATACCTGATCCCCGTTTGCTACCGCCACTCGGAACCTGGCGTCGGAAGTCAGCGCCACCCTTGCTTTCATTACCACCCTTGGGTCCATGAAGTTGTGTGAAGATCCTGAGTCCACGAGAATGGTCCCCGAAAGTGCCCCTACCGTTCCGTTTAAGCGCATAGTCTATGGGGTTTCAGCCCCGGAGATGGCATGTAGGGAGATGGTCAGTGTAGGCTCTAGTTCTTCTTCCTCTAGGGTCAGACCAGGGTCGTCACCTTCCTCCTCCTCCGCTTCCCTGTTGATCCACAAAAACTTCTGTACCTTGCACCAGTGGCTAGGGACATAGCGTTCCTCGCAGTTATAGCATAATCCTTTCTCCCGACTCTCTTTCATTTCCGTTGGTGTGAGCCAGCGAATTTCCGAAAACTCCTTGGAGATGACATGCTTGCCTGAGGGTCGCTTGCCGTTGCAAGACGTGGTCGCTAGTGCTCCGATCTAACGGTCCGTCTTCGAGCTGCCCACTCTTCTTCCTCCAACAGCGCTAGGCGGAAGGCTCTAGCTAAAGTCACTGGTTCGAACTTTTCCACCCCTGCTCGTACCTCTGTTTTAAGACCCACAATGAAACACTCGACTAGAGATTCTTCATTCAGCCCTTTCACTCGACTGGAAATCCTCTGGAACTCCTCCATATACTCATGGACGGTGGAGGTTTGAGAGAGTTTCGCCAGTTGCCCCACATGGTTGCTTCCCAGGGGCTCATTGAATCAAGCATCCAAGGCAACTATAAATTGACACCAAGTGGGCTCAGCTTGATGATCCTTGTACCAGCTATACCACTCCACTGCCCGTCCTTCAAACCCAAGGCTCGCCACTGGAACCCAGCTTTCCTCAGGTACCTCCTGTAGGCGGAAGTACTGTTGGATGAGGAGAAGCCACCCGTCCAGCCTGGCGCCTCCGAACTTTGGTAGTTCCACCTTTCAGAACTTCTGCGGGGAGATGAAGCCGCTCCCTGTTTCCCCCGAGCTCTCCATCCCCTTCTCGAAGCCACCACCAGCGGATGACCGATGTTGGGACTCCTCTTGTTGGTCCATTCGTGAAGAGATGTAGTTTAGATGATCCAGCATTTCAGCGAACTTCATATTCATTTCTTCACAGGATTTTTGTAGCCTTCCTACGTGATCCTCCATTGCCAGTATCTAAGCTGCCCGGGGATTTGCTTGCTTTGATACTAAGATGTTAAGAACCTCTTCCCGTTGTCGAGGAGAGAGCTTCGAGTTTCCCCGAGCTATGGTGAGAATCACTGCTCGAAGGGGATGACCAGAAGCGAGACCCAAGAGAATAGTAATGATAAGGCAAGTTCAATCATCCACTTCCATTATTCAATCATTTATAATCATGGGCGGTCGGAGACCGTTACATTAATGATGAGACACTCAATGCAATACTAACAACCTGTACGGAGGATTAGGTGGTTGGAGCGGAATATTCGGAGTGGCTGACGTGGCTATGGTGAGGCGGTAACGCCCCATATCATATAGACACCAATTATATTTTATCTTTACATTTCTTATTGTATTTGGGAGTAGGAATGGCAACGGTGTGGGGCGGGACCCAATTTTGCATGTTCTGTCCTTAATCTCAACTGTGACTTTAAATGTCCTGCCTCGCCTTGGTCATTTTTACATGTATACTTGCAGATGAGATCGGATCTGTTCCTCACATGGGGTGCCTCACACCGACCTTAAAAGCACATCCCACCATGCATTAGGAACATCTCCCATACTTATATGTTATTATTTACGGGAGATGTTCCCAAAGCATGATGAGATGTGCCTGTGAGGCTCCCCTGCCTCATTCCAAATCCTTAAAGTTTTAGATTTCCCCAAAACCTGCCCTAAACCCTGGTTAATGATAAAAAACACCCTCAACTGAGATGGGACAGGGTGGAGTGGAGTCTCACATTGATTTTGTGCTTATTGTGTTTTAGATGCCAAAAACATATTAAAAAATGACTTAAAATGTTTGATGAAAAATTACTTTTCATTCCCACAAAACTACAAAAATTCATCTGTTTAACAAACTTCACACCCAACGTTTTACAAAAAAAAAAAAAGTCACACCAAATGCTCAAAAGTGTTTGTTTAATAAGTATTTAGGAGCTGTTTTGTATATAACATTTAAGTATGTATTTGGGTATAGCTTCCGTTTATTAAATAAATGTTTGTATTTGACTTGTCTATAAACTGTTTATGGACAAATAGGCGTCATTAAGCACGACATCAGTAGAACAGTGAATAAACGCTCAATTATTAGGGGAAGCATTAATGCATAAATATAATAAAAAAAATGCTGATTTAGTGATGACATGACATGCATTTTGATAAAGGCCTATCATGAAGTGTTCACGGAACAAAATACATCCTTAACCAATAAACTTTTTATATGAATTTATTTCAAAAATAGAAATAAATTACTTTTAAATGTTTTATTATTATTATTATTATTCAGGCTAGGTGCCACATGCATCAAACAGTAAAAAAATGCTTATGAAATGTTATTTTCACACTTTTCTAATAAAGTAATAAACGATTCTTACGTAACCCTAATGACAAATATATCAGTTAAACAGTTCAACCAAACAATAAAATGGGGCGTTTTTCTGTTAAACACCTATCTTATTTTACGCTGAATTGACATCATTGCTAAAAAAACGCTATTAATACCAAACATATCTTAAAAAAAGCCGTTTAGGAAGAAGTAACCCACCCCACCCCCCAAACACAACCCTAGATAACAAGAGTGGGTGAGTGATAAAATTGTGGCGGTGGTCTGACAGTTACAGCGCAACCGTATTGTCCAGGGCCAAGCGGCCCAAGCCCAAGGGGAGAGGCGGAGAGGCGGAGAGCGAGCGACAGCGTGTGAGAGGGAGAGAGAAACTGGAGAGTCATGCGATTCACGTCCGCAAGACGTATAAGCTATTGGCGGCTGGTTGGCACGTGTTTTTTTACGTGACTGAGAAGTGAGAAAAGAATCTTACTGCAACCCATCAAATCAAATTATCTTTTTGGGTGTTATCCTCAGTGGTGGGGCTCAGAAAAGTTATCCTTAACTACTACTACTTCTTCTCTCTCTCTCTCTTTCTACTTTTATATACACACATGATGGATGATCATCATTTTTCTCCTATCTATATATCTACCACCGTTGTCTAATCCATCACACGATACTAAACTTTTCCGATTTTAGATTCCTATCTTGCCAATGCCATACCCAATGCACACAATAATTTTTCCTACTAAATCTGAAGGCTATTTTTGTCATTCCAATTTTAATTAAAAGTATATTTGTTATTTTCTAAGGTCGTCGGGGGTAAGCAAGTCAATGACGATGGCAGACCTTTTTTTTTTTTTTGATCTTGGGCCTTTTTATTCTTTTTGCCTCATTTCATTTGAGTTTAATTTGGAGGGAATTTAAGTTGGATTTAAGCAGAAAAAAAAGAAATGCGCTTTTATTAATTTGCTCGTCTCGTCTCTGTGCCGTGGACTTTAGTTTTCATTGATTTTTAGATCCACCGAAGGTGCAGCAAATGCAACGTAGATCTTCTCTGCAATTTCCTCTGAGTTTGTGCGAACGAAAGGGATAAAAGAGCTTCAAGAAAAGACCCAATAATGGCGAAACTCATATAATTGCGCCAATCCATACAATCATCAACGATGGCCGAAAAAGAGAGAGCTTCAAAAACGGCAGCTCCTCCTCGCCCAACGATTGCTCTCCCGCCGCGCTCCTCTGTCGAGAGTCTCTTCACAGGTGGAGCTGGCGCCAGCCCCGGTCCGATGACACTTGTCTCTAACTTCTTCTCTGATAACGATCCCGAGTCGGACTGTCGGTCTTTTTCGCAGCTCCTAGCTGGGGCCATGGCCTCGCCGGTTGGGGTTGCCGGTATAAGACCCAACTTTTTGACGGACAATTCAACCGACAATTCTTTCAAGGAAAACGGTTCAGGGGATGGATGTGAAAAGGATGTCCGGCTTAAGCCGCACCATCCGTTGAATTTGGTGATTGCCCACTCGCCCATGTTTACGATTCCGCCTGGTTTAAGCCCTGCTTGCTTGCTTGATTCACCGGGACTCTTTTCGCCTGTTCAGGTAACCGGATGAAGTATATTATCATACTAAAATACCTAGATAGCTCTTTTTTATCCTCTTGATGCTCGTCTATAAATCTGTTGCAACTGAAGAAACTTTAACTGTTTATGAAAATTTATCTTTACTATCAACAACAAAAAAATAAAATATAAAACTAAATCAGAACGTTATCAAGTCGGAATTACTTTCTTTGAGTTCGGCTATGTGAATCGCATCACAACTAAGCAGAGGTTGAAATTAGAAGTCTAGAAGCAGCATTATTTACTCTATTTTGGGCTTCAATCCATTTTTGGAAACGCCAATCTGTTTATTTCGTTTGCGTTTGACGTTGTAGAAACATATTTTGCAGGTTGGGATGAAAGTCAAATAACAGACCTATGTGAATACTTTGTGAATTTTATTGTGTCGTATATATCTCCAGATATTACTTCCTCTGTTATAAATTATAATCAGTGGAGAGGTGCACGTTGGAGTCGGGGGGGGGGGTGGAATTTTCTTGTCAGTTCTCTGGCCTGGTAGCTCCAGACAGTTGATTTGGGCAATGCTTATAGGTGGTAAGAATCATCGTTCTCATTATCCTTTGTCACAGGTCAGTTAATTTGTTGCGTACTAATGTTTGTGCGTGGATTTTTCATCTTTTTGTTTTCTGTAATTATTCATTCTGTTTGTTGCTTCTTGCCTGATGGGCATGAATTTGGGGTTCTTCCTGGTTTAATCGTTTCCATTTAGTTGTAAAGTATAGGATGGTGTCGACAACTATTATGTACTGTTCTTTCCCCCAATCTGTCATTTTGGAGCAATCATTGAGTAGGCTGACTCTTGGATGCATGAGCTATAAGCATAGCATTTGCTTTGATAATGCTTATCAGTCAATGTGTTGGCCCTCTTTCTGATTGTTACATTTATATCACTGTGTTTCTTTTCATTTTTATTTTCTTCCCTTTTGCGAATGTAAATCTATATGTTAGTTTGTGGTAGAATCCTTCAACGACAGCCTACTTTTGGCCCAAGAAAGTGGCAACCTTCTGACTGTGCAGTTGACTTTGAGCATAGGAGGGTCACATGCACTGTATGGGTTAAGGCAATTTCCATCATGATGTGGTTGTAAGCAGCAGTTTGTAGTTTGTTAATGCCAAATTACTTTGTGAAATCCATCTTATGTTCTGGTGGTTGTAGGACCATACAGTATTTCCTTAATGCCAAATTACCATGTAAAAAGCAATAGTTGGTAACCTGTGTCAGGTATTCATTTCTTTGGTTTCTGAACGTACACAGGGCTCCTTTGGAATGTCCCACCAACAAGCTCTAGCACAAGTCACAGCACAGGCTGCCCAATCCCAATCGCATATGTACATTCATGGTGAATATGCATCTTCAGTGCCAGCACCTCTTCCAGCTTTGCCGTCAAACAGCATGTCCTTTGGTTCCAATGCAACTTCAAGTCAAAATATGCCACTGTCAACATCTGACCCTAAAGGTAACATAGTGGAATCATCAGAAATATCCAACTCTGAACAGAGATTGCAACCTTCCAGTATTGCGGTTGATAAGCCTTCTGATGATGGCTACAACTGGCGTAAATATGGTCAGAAGAAGGTGAAAGGAAGCGAATTTCCTCGAAGCTACTACAAATGCACCCACCATAATTGTTCTGTCAAGAAAAAGGTTGAGTGTTCTCTTGACGGTCAGGTAACTGAGATTATCTATAAGGGCCAGCACAACCATCATCCACCTCAACCCAATAAGCGTGCAAAAGAAGGTGGAAATCCAAATGCAATCTTAAATGCGCAAGGGAATCAAGAATTCGGTTCACAGGTTCAGTCTGGAAATTCAAACAGGCCAAATGATAATGTTATCTCCTCAATCTATAGGAAGGATCAGGACTCCAGCCAAGTGACCCCTGAGCAATTATCTGGCTCAAGTGATGGGGAGGAAACGGGTGATGCTGAAACAAAAGTAGATAAAGGGGATGATGATGAACCTGATCCAAAGAGAAGGCAAGTTTTACACCTAATAACGTTTCTGCACTCAAAGAGTCTTCAGTTTTGTTATGTTGTAACAAATCCCTGCATTATTCTTAATTATCAGGCACACAGAAGTTAGGGTTTCTGAAGTAGCTTCTTCACACAGGACAGTCACAGAACCTAGGATCATTGTGCAGACAACAAGTGAAGTAGATCTTTTGGATGATGGCTATAGGTGGCGCAAATATGGACAGAAAGTGGTCAAGGGGAACCCTCACCCAAGGTTGTAATTTTGTTTCACTGCATGCAAATGATATAAATTTATGCTCTTTGTCTGTCTCACCTAGTAATTTGTTGGAGTCGAGCATCTTTTCTTGCCCAAATTGACTCTTATTCTCTTGGGTTATTTTTCCCCCTCCAAGGAGACTGTGCTTTTTGCAGCCTAATGTCACGGACCTAGACTCCTCTAGCGTCTTGTGCTCATGACACTAAGCTCAGAGAAAGTGATCCAGGATCAGACTCCTGACCTCAATATCATGATACATGAAACTTCACTAAATGTCAAGCAGAATGCTTATACACTTAAAACTTTGTCTCCATATGTGAGGATAAAGTTTGAATCAAAGTTGGTGCAATCAGATGATCTTTAAGAGTAACATTGAGAAATAAAGTAGATGGTTACCAAATGCAAACCTTCAGCTTTTGCACATTTGCTCCATTAACCAATTGCTCAAACTGTGAAATAAATCTTGGTATTGAATATACAGAATTTACCATAAACTCAATTTCTTGCTCTCATTCTGCGATCCAATCTCACATGCACCATCCATCCTCTTGAGCATAATGTTTTGCTGCATACTGTTTGGCTTACTTTAGTTGCTTGGGTTTTCTGCTTTTTGTCTATATTGTGTAAATCAACCTCACAACCATACTAGGTGGATGTACTATTTGATATTTACACTTATGCTTTCTTATGTGTTATTGTGAAACTCACAAGGAGCTTCCTGCTCAGAAGAATCACATTTTCATGTTTGTTGATCTTTTTCCCTTTTTTTTTTCTTATGTAAACTCTGATGGCTACATAGTTTCCTTTCTTTTTCCCATTTTTTTTTCTTATGTAAACTCTGATGGCTACATAGTTTCCTTTCTTCATTATTATCTTAATATGACAAGGACCTCTGTTTCCTAAATTTGGTGTGGTGGTCACGGAAGTAGCAGATGCATGTTCAGTCACATGCTTAGGCAGAAGCTTCCTTCTCTTTGTTCTCTATCCTTTTTGAAATTGGCACACTCAAATATATATTATAGTTATCCAGAAAGTACTATTCTCATATTATGGACAATGAAGGTTGTTAGAGTTAGCCGAATAAGGGTAGATTAGTCAACTCACCTTGGTTAAGTTATGAGCTTATGTGGCAGTCTTATTAGAGGTTCTCTGTCCCATACTTAAGTAGGGGCAGTTTAGTCCTTGTACATTTAATTAGAAGCCTAATCACTATTAAGAGGTCGACTGATAGGGTTTAGCTATCAGGTTCGACAGTTCTTTCATCTTCTTCTTCTTCTTCTCCTTACTGGTTTGGACTACTGTAGCTACAGTAGAAACAAAGGTTTTACCCTGTTAGGTCCTTTGAGACACTATATTTGTCTTCTGGCATCTTTTTTATGTTCAATGTAAAAATATGTATCTATGCTAGGTGGCTTCATTCTTTTGTTATCATTAGCATATCATTTCTCTATCCTTTCTTGAATGATGTTTGGTACTTGTAGCCCACTTTATTTGCTTGTGTTTCAATGACAATTTAGCATCTGCACTCAATGATAATTTCTCATTCTGAGAGCTATGCATGTTTTGAACTGAAGTTTTTTTTTTATCCTTGTTCAATTACTACCTCTGCCTAGAGGTGTTCTATTGTTAATTTTTTTCCCTTCAACTAAAGGCAGGTTTCTAAATACATCTCAATATTATCCACAGGAGCTATTATAAATGCACCAATGCTGGATGTAATGTTCGCAAGCATGTGGAAAGAGCTTCTACAGACCCCAAAGCTGTCATTACAACATATGAGGGGAAGCACAATCATGATGTACCAACAGCTAAGAACAGCAGCCATAACACAGCCAACAGTAATATGCCACAGCCAAAACCTCTCAATGCTGTAGCTGAAAAGCACTTATTACTTAAAAATGCAGATCCTAGGAATCAAGATCAACAACCTATAGCGCTTTTACGGTTAAAAGAAGAGAAAATCACTTAGTATCTCTTTGTTCTTGACATAAATGGCTTGTCACAAAAGTTTGCAGCCGACTACACACAAGCTGTAATATTTTTTGTTGGAATCTGAGCTTCATAAACTCGAGGCCACAGGTTCTGTCAACTCCTGTGTCAACCAAAGGGCAAGAGAAAGAAGGAAACAAAAAGCAAGAAGAGAAGGGAAAGAAATCACTGTAAGGTGGTTGAATAAACCTTTGGGAGTTGGGGCTCTAGTTAACTGGAACATGTGATTGATTGGGTCATATTATTGTATTTTATAACCTCATGTGTTTCCAGAAATCAATTGCAGTTGTGTTCTTTTGTTCATCAGAATCCAGAGGTGCTTTTTAACTGGGTGTTTCATATCTCATGTGAAAATGAACATCTGATATGATACATGTTATTTCTTGTTGTCAACTTTACTGCCGGCCTAACTGGTTTACTCAGCTACAGAATTAGGCAACTAGCACAAAATCAATAGATGAATATACCAATTCTAAGATTGAGATCTGAATCTACCATATTGTGTAGCAATATTTATAGTCTGAATGTTGGATACAAGGCAATTAACTGATAAAGGCCAATTCAAGGACCTCACCTAACAGTTTAAGCTTGTAGGGTGCTTTGATATGGTATCAGAGCCTATTTGACTAAGTGATCTAATGTTAGATCCTTGTTGCGACTATTATATTTAATTAAATTTCAGTGCAATGTATGGATGGATTTGCTTGGTCCGCTCTTCAAGCATGATGGGCTCACTTGTGTTGTGTCAATAGCAACCATATAAACTGAAACAAGGTGAGGGTGGGACTAGATGCTTCTCTGGTAGATTGAACTACTCTGATGGCTCAGGGACCTCACCTAACAGTTTAAGCTTGTACGGTTCTTTGATATGGTATCAAAGCTTATTTTACTAAGTGGCCTAATGTTCGAATGTATGGATGGATTTTCTTTGTGCACTCTTCAAGCCTGATGGGCTCACTGTGTTGTGTCAATAGCAAGTATACAAACTGAAACAAGGCGAGGGTGGGGCTAGTTGCTTCTCTGTTAGATTGAACGAAACTCTGATTGCTCGGTCCATGGATGGTTGTATCTATAAACTAGATATTGAGAGTCTTTTCCCCTAAACATGTACGAATTACTATTGACTATTGAGGTCACGCATTTAAGACCTTAAATGGTTGAAAGATGTTAATAAAAAAAAAAAAAAAAAAAATAGTTGACAGATTGAACATCAGTAACTCAACCATGAGGGCATGCGTTCGAAATCCAGCTTATCAAGAACAATAATAAAAATACATCAATTGTGGTAAAATTACTCCGTGCCATCTGACATTCAAAGCCTTTGTTATTCTTTGCAAGTTTTGGGAGATAAAGTTGCAAGCAGAAACGCAGAATGGTAAAACCCATCTTGGCAGAACTTTTTGTGCTATAGTTTTTTGACTACCCAATGGGGTGATGAATCCAGCATGGGAGATGGTCTGCGTTGTATTTGTTGGACCTACCTCCATTTTGAGTTGATCTCTATCTAATTAATTTTATATTATTGGGCTGATAAGAGAATAATTAATTGATTAATAATGAGGTTTTAGGGCCACTTATGTGGCTATAAGGGTATCCACGAGGACTCTTGTACATCAACCACCAAACAACTAGTTTTCTTTTTTATAAACAGTGCGGTAGGTCTTTCAAGTGTTTTGTCTGTCTAGCTTTCATGAAAATATTGTATATTTTCTTCCCAACTCCTCTTACACGCCATGAGACTTGCTTTGACCCAAACATTATATTGGCATTTATTGTTTTCTTTTGGTAAAGCTCAACTTTCATTAAACAAAAGGGCAAATAAAATAGGGGTTGGGTAAGCAACCCTATTTTTCTTTTTCTTGTCTAACAGATTAGCATTTAGCCAGCCACGGCAGAGTCGGAAAAATCCAATCACCCCTGTTATAGTACTTACTAGCTAGCAAGAAACTGAGCAAATATTAGAGCTGTAATGTGGTCGGGCCGGTGGTGGGTCGGCATGGCCCACCACGATAGGGGTCGTGCCTGGCACGGCACGGTTGTTACAGTACCGGGCCAGGCTGGGCCTCGGCTATGGAGGGGACCAGGCCCCCAAAGCACAGCCTGGCCCATCTTGGCATGCAGGTACAGGTCGGATTTGAAAATTATTTGTAATACTTTCAATTTTATTTGAGAGTTATTTATGATATTTTCTAATAATCCAATCCTATTGTAATTTTTATCTTCAATTTTATCATTTTATTAATTCAACTCCATTGTATTTTTATTTTTTATTTTTGTACACATTAAATTTGAAATGAAATAAAATTTTCATAATTTTCTCCAACTTATTGTCTATTATTCATGCTAATTTTCTACTATTATATATTATTTTTTCTAATTTTTCTTAATTTAGAAAAATTGAAACAAAAAGGCTTGACCTGCCATTGCTAGGTTCCTTAGGCCCGGCACAGCTGGGAACCGGGCCATGGGCTGTGCCGGGCCTGACCTGGGAAGGGGACCGGGCTGCCCAAGCACGGCCCACCATGGCCCGAGGCCTGGCATGGCATGACCTACATTACAGGTCTAGCAAACATGTTCTTCTGTCTATGACTAAATATCATAAGAAATTGAGTCAAGATGAGTCAATTCTTCCTTAATATAATAAAAAAGAAATTATAGGTCATGAGGAATATCAGTGCTTGATCTGTTTAGGAGTTGGACAAGAGTAATAAACTAATGCACTCACTTCTAATTACCAAGTTTTTTAAACTAGGACTTAAAAGGCTAAAAGCTAGTTTCAGACCAACCAGGAAGGCAGAAATTTCAGAGCTGATCACTGATCTTAGGATGCCTCCATGAACTTCAACTACCAAAACATCCCCTTGGTTTCCCCAAATAATTACTTATCTGCAAAATAGACTTTATAAAAGAATCATCCACTTGTTTGGAGCTTCATGGTCCATTTCTTCATTGATATTCCTATATTGCTGTGGTTAGGAATCTATGACTGAGGCTGGCCATGCTTGGCCTTCTCCAATCCATCTTATATACCTACATGCAGATTCTAAAATCTCACTTGGATTGGCACATAAACAATCAAAGATGGCTTGGTTTCTATTTCCAATGCTACCAAGTTATATATCACAAGATTCACAATCAAATTTAAGAGTACAGCATTATTGAATCAACTTTAGCTAATCTTGATTCTTTGATCCAGCTAAACAGCCATGGAATCAGAATTCTATTCGTCTAAATTTCAAACTTAATATGCAATAAACTTGCAACAAAACCAAATAGATCTAGCACAATCGCTATATAAAAGATAATCATGAACAGTGGCGGAGCCAAGAATTTTCTTTTGGGGGCCAAATTAAATAAGAAAATGAGATAGGGAGCAAAAGAAGTAGGGTTTGGGGGAAAGTGGCCATGGCCCAAGAAGGTCTGGGTCTATTACAGATTTTTTTTTTAAAGAAAAAATACATATTTTTTTCTTTAAATTTTGGGAGTTGGAGGAGTATTAGAGAGTAATCCTTTACATTTTAGTTGAAGTTTTGGGGGAGGGGGGCAAGGACCCACTTTATTATATTTTTGACCCGGGGGGAAGGACCTCCACCAATATACTTCGCTCCGCCTGGTCATGAAGTTCAATCAACTACTTTGGATACTTGCCATTCTAGGATAAGAAGGAGCCTAGATCTGCTGCTCTCTTTGGCTGTGTATCATTTGCTACATAATCAATCACAAATGAATAAGCCAGTGATCACTGATCCATATGTTGGCATTAGGGTCCAATTAATTACTACACAGTCAAGCTTGCAGCAGATTGGGAGTGGATAGAAAGGTGACCATGGATGATGGATCTACCTACACATCCACCATCTCTCCATTTCCTATCTTCCTTATATAATCTTTTGCCAGGAGATCATCGGATAATGACCTTTTGTTATGCTTCTCCATCTCTATGATATGCCCTTTTGTAGTCTTAGGGGCTGTTTGACAAGTCTTTTTGGGAAGATCTTCTGGTAGCTTTAACGGTTAAAAGACGTATTGAGATTTTTCATAAAGATCTGAACAGCCCAAAGTTAGTTTGGCTGCCACGAGTCTTTTCATGTAGTCTTAGGGGCTATTGGGGGTCGGATTTGTTCACAACAAAAAATTGTTCCAACATGTTTCAACATAATCTTTGTCTGCACATCCTATACATGGTGAGTTTCAATCTCACAGTGAGATGTGGAGATACAGATTATATTGGAACTGTGTTGGGATGGTTTTTTGTTGTGAGTAGATCCCATTCCACCCTATTGGGTTAGGGTTTGGTTAGCATTAATTATGAATAGGGTTAAGCAAAAAAACAAAAAACAAAAAAAATGAATCGATTGAAATCGAACTAAAAAATTGGTTAACCGAATCGATTAGTTTGGTGTTTTTAAAAAACCGAAAGTACCGGTTTAGTTTCGGTTAACCAATATAGAAAGCCGACGGTTAACCGAATCGACCGGTATAGATATATTTCTATATATTTATGTATATTATATATATTTTTATATATTATAAATTAATAAATATGCATTATATATAAATATATATTTATAATATATGAAAAATTATTTATTATTTAAAATATAATATTTTATATATTCATAATTTTTATTATATTTTTATAATATATATTATAAAAATTAAAAAACCAATAAACCAAATCGATGATTAACTAAACCGGTCAAGGGAATCAGTTATCTGCGTGTCAATTACCAACTAGGGCCTTAAAGTTACCCTCACCCCTAAAAATGATGGCATTGTTATGAGACTGGATCTGCTCCCAAACATGACCTTATGGTGAATGTGCAGGCACCATCATGCAAATTGGAACAATTTTAATTCAATCCAGATTTACATGGTGATGGGGAACATCTCTCCCCATCAATAATAGCATGCAACTAAGTAATTTAGTGGGAAGGAGATCTGAACACTTTTAAAGTTGGGAGTAGATGGCAACTCATATGAAATCTCAGAAGTAAAACCCCACAAGTTGTCCTCCTACGGTCCTACCTTTAAACTATTTAGTGGGAAGGAGATCTGAACACTTTTAAAGTTGGGAGTAGATGGCAACTCATATGAAATCTCAGAAGTCAAACCCCACAAGTTGTCCTCCCACGGTCTTACCTTAAACAAACAAAGAAGCATCAAACTAGCCTGCAAAGTGGTTTCCGGATTCGGCTTGTCTCCGCTTTATACAACGAATCCGGTCCGGATCAGCTACTATCGACACGATCCCACTCCCAAGTTCCTTACAACGTCCCAGCGCGATTGGGGAACATCTTACTTGTCTTTCTTTCTTTCAAGGCGAGATGTTACCGATGTGATGTACGGCTGCAATGAATTCTCCACTCTTAGAACGTTGTTGGGACCGGTGT